ATAATAAATGCCCAGAGCAATGTAGAGATATTCCAGCCACTTCAGCCAATGAGCCAGCTTCATTTGGAGCTCAGCTCAGATGCCTCTGTACAAATGCCCATAGCATGGGGAACAAACAAGAGGAATTAGAGATGTGTGCACGTTTACAAGAGTATGATATAATAGGCACCACAGAAACATGGTGGGATGGCTCCTATGACTGGAGTGTTGGAATGGAAGGTTACAGACTCTTTAGAAAAGACAGGCCTGGTCGGCAGGGAGGGGGAGTTGCTATTTACGTTAGGGATAGGCTGAACACTATGGAACTCTGTCTGGGGACAGGTGAGCAGTCAACAGAAAGTTTCTGGGTCAGGGTTAAAGGGAGAACAGCGATGGGAGACATTACTGTAGGGATCTGTTATAAACCACCTGATCAAGAGGAATCTGCGGATAAAGCACTCTATAGGCAGATAGGATAAGCCTCACGCTCACAGGCCCTTGTTCTCATGGGGGACTTCAACCACCCTGACATCTGTTGGAATGACGGTACGGCCCAGCACAAACAATCCAGGAGGCTCCTCGATTGTGTGGAAGACAACTTCCTTCTGCACGTAATAGAGGAGCCGACAAGGAGAGGTGCCATGCTTGACCTCGTGCTCACCAGCAGGGAAGGGCTGGTTGGAAATGTGATGCTCCAGGGCAGCCTTCGTTGCAGTGATCATGAGATGGTCAAATTTGAGATCCTCAGGACAGTGAGAAGAGCGTGCAGCAAGCTCACTGCCCTGGACTTCAAGGGAGCAGACTCTGGCCACTTCAGGAACCTGCTTAGTAAGGTTCCATGGGATAGAGCCCTAGAGGGCAGGGGGCCCAAGACTTGGTTGATATTCAAGGATCACCCGCTACAAGCTCAGGAGTGTTGCATCCCAACTAGAAGGAAGTGCAGCAGGAGGGCCAGGAGACCTCCTTGGATGGATAAGGAGCTGCTGAAGAAACTTAGAAGGAAAAAAAGAGGCTTCTAAAAGGTGGAAGCAAGGACAGGCGGCCTGGGAAAAGTACAGAGATGTTGTAAAGGAAGCTGGGGACCCAGTTAGGAGAGCTAAGGTGCAGTTAGAATTAAACTTGGCTAGGGATGTTAAGGATAACAGGAAGGGATTCTACAGGTTCATTGCAAATAAAAGACAGACTAGGGACAACATGGGTCCTCTCCGGAAGCTATGGGGAGAACTGGCTACACAGGATTTGGAGAAGGCTGAGGTTCTGAATGATTTCTTTGCCTCAGTCTTCACTTGCAAAGGCTCTGACCGCACCACCCAAGTCTTAGAAGGCAGATGCAGGGAGTGTGAGAATGAAGATCTGAGGCCCATTGTAGGAGAGGATCTGGTTCCTGACCATATTAAGAACTTGAACATACACAAGTCCATGGGACCTGATGAAATCCATTACGGGTCCTGAAGGAGCTGGCGAATGAAGTTGCTAAGCCACTGGCCATCATATTTGAAAAATCATGGCAGTCAGGTGAAGTTCCCGATGACTGGAAAAAGGGAAATATAACCCCCATTTTCAAGAAGGGGAAAATGGAGGACCTGGGGAATTACAGACCAGTCAGTCTCACCTCTGTGCCTGGCAAAATCTTGGAGCAGATTCTCCTGGAAGGCATGCTAAGGCACATGAAAAACATCAAGGTGGTTGGTGACAGCCAGCGTGGCTTCACTAAGGGGAAATCCTGCTTGAACAATTTGGTGGCCTTCTATGATGGGGCTACAGAACTGATGGACAGCGGTAGAGCAGTTGATGTCATTTACGTGGACTTGTGCAAAGCGTTCAACACTGTCCCACACGACATTCATGTCTCTAAATTGGAGAGACATCAAGTTGATGAATGGACCACTCAGTGGATAAAGAACTGGCTGGATGGCTGCACGCAAAGAATTGCGGTCAATGGCTCAATGTCCGGCTGGAGACCAGTAACGAGTGGTGTCCCTCATGAATCGGTGTTGGGACCGGTCTTGTTCAACATCTTTGTCGGTGACATGGACAATGGGATTGAGTGTACCCTCAGCAAGTTTGCCGATGACACCAAGCTGTGTGGTTCGATTGATACGCTGGAGGGAAGGAATGCCATCCAGAGGGACCTTGACACGCTTGTGAGGTGGACTGATGCCAGCCTTATGAAGTTTAACCATGCCAAGTGCAAGGTCCTACACCTGGGTGGGAGCAATCCCAGACACAGCTACAGTTTGGGCAGAGAAGAGATTCAGAGCAGCCCTGCAGAGAAGGACTTGGGGGTACTGGTCGATGAGAAAATGAACATGAGCCAGCTTCAGTGTGCGCTTGCAGCCTAGAAAGCCAACCGTATCCTGGGCTGCAGCAAAAGGAGTGTGACCAGCAGGCCAAAGGGGGTGATCCTGCCCCTCTACTCTGCTCTCGTGAGACCTCACTTGGAGTGCTGTGTGCAGTTCTGGTGTCCTCAACATAAAAAGGACCTGGAACTGTTGGAACAAGTCCATAGGAGGGCCACGAGGATGATCAGGGGACTGCAGCACCTCCTGTATGAAGACAGGCTGAGAAAGTTGGGGCTGTTCAGCCTGGAGAAGAGAAAGCTGCGTGGAGACCTCAGAGCAGCCTTCCAGTATCTGAAGGGGCCTGTAAGGATGCTGGGGAGGGACTCTTCATTAGGGACTGTAGTGGTAGGACAAGGGGTAATGGGTTAAAACTTAAACAGGGGAAGTTTAGATGGGATATAAGGAAGAAGTTCTTTACTGTGAGGTGGTGAGGCACTGGAATGGGTTTCCCAGGGAAGTTGTGAATGCTCCATCCCTGGCGGTGTTCAAGGCCAGGTTGGGCAAAGCCTTGGGTGACATGGTTTGGTGTGAGGTGTCCCTGCTGATGGCAGGGGGTTTGGAACTTGACGATCTTAAGGTCCTTTCCAACCGTAACCATTCTATGATTTTATGATTCTATGCTTTTATGATTCTATGACTCAACATTTCTGAAAGCTCAGCCCAGTTTTATGGATGGTATTGATGTTTCAATCCCTCCATTACTGCAGATCCAGTATTTTACATTCCTCATGTTTCTTAATGTCTGGGTGGATTCTGTAGGAAATATTTTGTTGCTAGAATCAAATTGCAGTTCTGTTTACTTCTCAGTTACACAATCAGTTCATAAATATTTTTGGCCTTCGTCAGGTTCAGCCTCTGACACATAAAACTTACAGCTCCCTTTAAATGTTGATCCACTCATCTGGGGCTTTGGGCTGAACGTAGGAATCTCTGGAATTACTTTATGTGTATGTGTTGTAGTACATGGTTTATGTTTTAGTAGCTCCCGTAGAGCTGTCTATGTACAGTTTGAAAAAGAAACCAACTTGTACATGCTGTGCATCAGCTATTGTATTCACTAAAATTCACTGCAGGGCTTAAAATATAGTGAATATGCCGAGAGGTGACAGAAATACTTGCAAGAGTGGAAGAAAGTGAGTCCTCCTTGTAATGTCTTTGAGAATCCTGAGTGTGATGCTCACATTGGGAATTAAGTGGGAACATCTCTGCTTTGTTGAGATCCTTCTTCAATCAAGCCAGAAAGACCCCCAGATATGTTTCAGTTTGCAAGTGGAAATTCCCTTTGGGGCAGCTGTGAAGGGAGTAAAGTGGTAAAATCATTTACTATGGGAAAAATACTCAGAGTTGCTTGAGTTCCAGTATGCTTCTGCTTTGCCTTGAGGCTAACACATTACTACAAACATGTGCATTCACTGCACTTTGTATGCCAGCAGATAGCAGTGTGATTCCTGTTTTCATTACAGTCTGAGCTTCTTTCACGGTTAAGCCAAGTGCACTTTGAATCTGGTAAGGAAAGATTCTTTCATTTATTCAGAGAAGCCCCAGGGCAGCTGATACCTTTGCACTGCTGAGGATGCCATGTCACCAAAAGGAAACTTGCCAGTGTTGTGGTGGGTGGAGCAATTCAGGTTGCCTTCTGTGGACAGCTGGCTTCTGCTTGCTGCAGGGACTTTCAGGTGTCTCTACTCACAAAATACTCTTTCATGTGTCTTACAATTAGATTGGTTTAGGAAACTGTGGAAGTCAGTCAGCTTGACTAGGGGAAAGCACATGATGTTACTGTCATCAAGAGCTGTTGTGTTGTGTTGTCAGCTCTCCACCTTCTGTTGTCCCCCCCTTGTTGCAGAGGCTTCGTACTGAGGAGCTTTGCACGAGATGTTGGCTGGATTTGGCCCAAAGAGAAGCAGCAAATGCTTGTCAGCACTCAGGTGGTTGGGTTGGTCCAAAGTCATAGTAAGGAGGCACAGGACAAACACCAATAACTTTCTGCCTCACTGATGGGAGCAACTGAATCCTGTCTCTCATTGCTGGTGCTTCCCCTTGTTCGGTCTTCTAATTTCTCATAAAATCAGATTTTCCTGCATACCGTGTGGTTTTCTTTCCATTTCTATCAATCATTAGCTGTTTGCAAGTGGGCTTGGCTTTCCCAAAAACGAAAGAGAAAATAAATTCATGTTTGTTTTTTTTTTTTTTTTTACTGTCCCTCTGTACTTTCAGCCTCACAGACTCTGAACTCTGCTTTTTCTTAGTATTAATTTAGTAACAAGGTTTAGTCCTTGCTGCAGCAATCTGGAGGCAATTTAAAGTATCTTTTCCAGGATCTTACCTAGCCAAGATGCCCATCAATGTTGATGATGTGATGCTGCTGTTCTGCCACCTCTCCCAGGAGAAGGAGATGAAAGCTGCTGTCAAGCACTCTGGTCGAGGAGCACTGCTGGTGGCTGCAACAGCTTTTATTGGGGGTCTGATGGGAGGTTCACGTGGAATCGCTGTAGGTAAGTATTTCTGTGCTATCATGGGAAAAATTGCCAACTGAGTAAAAGCTGCAAGTTACAGAGCTTTTGTCTAATGAAAAACTTCATCCTTGTGAGTGAATAAATGACTTTTTAGGAGCAGTTACTGGGGGTGGGAATTTTTGAGGCTGGGTGGGTTCTGTCACCTTTCTTCATCAGAATATCTGTGTCTCTGAGTGGTGTCAGTCCTGTGAGCTGCTGTTGGAGAGCACTGTGATGCAAGTCAGGCTGGTAGCTCTTTGAAAGAGAACATTGGTGAAGGACTGCAGGGCTGTTTTCTCAGAAACAGCCATAGCCAGGTCAGCTGTAGGGGATCCCTCTGCTGTTATGATGAGCTGGAACCAGTCTACTTAGCAGAGCATTTCTTGGCCAGCTGGGGTGGGCTGTTGGTTTGGCAGATGAAAGTGTGAATGTGTCTAAGCACACTAAGCTGATGGTTTGGTCCCTGAGAGGTGGACTTTATGGGAGCAGGAGGCTGCAGTGTGCGGCTGTAGAGAAGCTGAAAGCTTGGGTCAGTCTGGGAATCTCTGGCAAGAGACTATGGGCTAATGGCACTGATAAAGTAAATGTCCAGTGTTTTCCTTGGGCATGGTTTTGTTTACTGGTAGGGCTTACCATAAAGAGACGAGAGCCCTAAGGAGTGTTGTTTCGTTTCTGATTTCTCTTGCTTGAAGCCATTAGCTTTGATTGTGCAAACAGTTGGTTTGTGATTGCTGTGGATGTAAAAAGCTTTAAAAATCCTTGGTGCTTTGAGCACTGGGTATGAATGGAGTTTCAGTAGACATACGTAACTCCACATTGATTCCTAATACAGATGGGACCACTGTTGGTGAAGGCTGTGGACAGAAGTTCAGGTTTTAACATCAGTTGGCAAGGAGTAACACCTCTCTCCCTCTGTTCTAGGAGGAGCATTTGGTGGCTTACTTGGTGCCTGGATGACGAGTGGACAGTTCAGGCCAGTCCCTCAGATTTTACTGGAATTGCCTCCTGCTGAGCAGCAGAAACTCTACGATGAAGCCATTGTTATTCTCAGGAGCTTAGACTGGACTGACGTTGCTCAGCTGACTGCTCTTGTAATGGGAAATGCTAGTCTCCAGCAGAAGCTGACAGGAGTGCTGATAAATTACCTCTCCAAAGAGCTAAGAGCAGAGATACAGTATGGAGAATAAACCTTTCCAGAGCAGGCTTTTTAGTGTAATGAATTTTACTTTGACAGTTGCATACTTCAACATAACAATTACTGGTTATCTGTACTAATTGCGAACATAGGCCAATTAAGTATTGTTTTGGGGTTGATGTCTGGGGTTTTGTTTTGTTTGTTTGTGTGTTGCTGGGAAGGGGTGTGTGTGTCAGGATGAGATTAATGCACTATCCTGCCACTGACTTGCTATGTAATGTTGAATTATTCTGCACTTGACTGAATTCAAAATCACTGCAGGGAATTAGGCTTCCCTTACGTTAATGTATCACTAGTTAAAATTTCCAGGTGACTGTTTTATTTAGGGGATATAATCATGTTTAAGTGCTTTAACTGCCTTCTGTGAATGCCATATAGGTGTTGCCAAAGTAGCTAGGGCACTTTGAAGAATTTTACCTTGTTTTGTTTTTTTTTTTTACCTGATTTAGTCCTTCAAAAGAGGAGTACAAGAAAGTACATTACTGTGAACTCAAAGATCTCCAAAGTACTCACTTTAGTCTTTGTTGCTTTTAAGCGGTAATTCTTGAGTTATTTATTCCTTTCTGTAAGAAGTGAATCCGATGCCTAAACAAGATTTAAGGCAACAGGTAAACTGTTCACAATTAGTAATTCCTGGTGTCCTAGAATGAGAAAGCATGGCAAGATTACTCTGAGTTTAAAATAGGGGAGTTAAATCTGCATTTTTTATACTATACCAGGATTAGGGTTGCCATTTCAGCCCTGGTTTCTTGACTGCCTCTGAACAGCTGGTCCTCTGTTTTCATTAAATTATTCTTAAGAAGCATCACAGTGGCCTGTGTTTTCCTTTAAAGGAACTCTTTCTGAACTGAGTACTGAAATTTGAGCATGAAGCCAGCCTAGTACTGGACAGGCATCAGTTGGCAGCAGTGGTGGTGGGGTGAGGTGCTGGCTGCAGTTAACATTGTGAGTTCCAAATGCAGTGTTCTTGAATGTCCTAGCCTGTTGTTCACTGTAAGACAAGTTTGTAAGAAAAATTTGCAGGTATACCCTGGTTTTGTATGTGAAGCCAAGTGAAACTGCTCTGATAATTTCATTTTTCCCTAAAATAAAGACGGGTCTCTGTGTGTGTGGCAGTTTCTAGAAGCTGACTTTTAAATGGTGAAGCTTTAAACTTGGAAAATGGCTATTGCATGCATTTGATTAATTGACTCCTGCAGATACTATTTGGCATGAATAAATTTAGTGTACTTTCTGCTTGGAGTGCAGGGCAATGATTATTGTTCTTGTCACTTGAAAACATGTTTTTAGTGATGTGAAAAACTGATGAAAGTGAATGGTAAGTGGGCACTCCTTACCCTGTCAGAGTTTCATAATGACAGGCTTGAAATCTGTGTTTTTTCAGTTTTACTGACAGATTACACACACTGCAACTGGCTCTTTAAAACTTTACACACTTTGTATACTTTTAACGACTATTTTTATGAATGCAGTTACTTTCATTTGCAATCTTCTGGTTATTTCACAAATTAAATTTCTCATTCCAAAATAATAGCAGCAGATGATTTGAGTGATAGAGTAGCATGTCGCCTGCCATCATAACTCTTCATTTGCTCTTCAAACCCAGACATGAAAAGTTGACATCTTAATGTAAAGCAGGCCATAGAAAAGATGTTGGTTTCAGTTAATTTATGATAGTATACAGTAATTAAACAGATTGTCACAAGTTTTAGAGTAGTTTCAAACATTAGTATCATGACTCCCGTTTTACAGGTATTCATAAATTTGAGCCCAAATGTACGTAGTAAGTTGATTTTTATCATTCATATCAGTGTAACAGACATGAGGGGAGTTTAGATTATGTGAGTTGGTCCTGTGTTCTGCTGTGTTACTTTATTTCTTAGGGTATTCTTTAAAATGCTAGAAATGATAAATCAGTTAGAACTACAATGTTTAGCCTTCACTACTGCATAAATGGGGTATGTGTCATACAGATACCTACAGAAACAAGGTCTATGTAGTCTGGAGTTCTGCAAGGACCAGTGTAGCTTTTTAAACCCCACTGCTACTGAGCTTCCAAGGAGCTTTATACTCCATGCCACAGGATAGCATGGTCTTAGTAATTAGTATTTTAACTTTTCAGATTTTCAGGCTTTCAGATGACTGAGTAGAACCAGGAAGAAATGAATTGAATTAAGTTTGTTCTCTGTATCATTATTTAAGAGGTTTGATGCTCATGAAACTTCCTGGAAGGTGACAGGTATGTATTTTCAAAGTAGTAGCAATAGGTTTGGGTTTGGTCTGAAACACATTTCACTGCTGGTAAGAGAAGAACAACAGAATCCAGCTCAAGAGAGCCTGGATAAGAAGAACTGGGAAATAACCACTTCTGATACATAACTACTGAGGGAGAATGAGCATGGCACCACACAATGGTTTTGTGGTTTGCATGTAATTTATGACAGTTTGTACTGTTGAATGTTGCAGAAAGATCAAATTCCACCTCTGTGGCTCTGACTACAGAGCTACCATATGGAGGTCACTGTGGTATTTGGTATGTAGCCTTCTGTGGGTGTTTGGGCAAGTTGAAAGAACCCTTCAGCAGATCTGGTCATGTGAGGAGAAGACAGACTGCATGAGAATGTAATAATACCTGGACAGGCTGCATGAGAATATATAATAATACCTGTCTGTTGATGTTCTTTGGTACAGACACAGCTGTCCACTGCTGCATTCCTTCTTGGTGTTGGAAAAGGCCACAGGCAGCGGTGGCATCTTCTGAGACCTCTCCAGCTGAGTGTGCAAGGCACAGTGATCACCAAGTAACCCAGGTACTGTGGCACCAGCAGCTTCAGGAGGCTGCTGAAAGAGCCACTATGGGGAGGTGTACATATTTATATAGAGAAACCATCTGTGATGCTGGTTATTAATCTAGTTTGGTTGTAGATGTGGCAGAATCAAGCTATGTTTGCACTGGCAGATGGTTTATTTTTAGTTTAAAATTCCTTTTTTTTTTCCTCTGTGTTGTTTTTTTTTAAGCTGTCTGATTTGAAGATAGAAAGCAAGCACGATTATACGGTGTGATGTTAGCAAAGAGAGGGAGTATCTTTTTTTTTTTCTTAATTAAAAAAAGCAACCCTGAATTCAACCACAGATCAGCAATTGAGATGTGCCATCTAGTGGCAAGTAGATAATTTCTCAAATTTAGCCTATAAAGGCTGCCTCGCTATAGATAAAACACAGTTATCCTTTTCCATGAAAAGCAGGGTGAACTACTTTCTTTGCTCTTACTATTTTCAATTTCTGTCTTCAATGAATTTTTATTAGATTATAAATAACAGCCCAGCTACAGACGACTGGAGTTTGTACACATTCCTGCTGCCCCCAGCTGTCAGCCCAGCCCCAGTAGTCAATCGCTTGCTGCCCCTGCATCGGGATAGGGGAGTGAATGGGAAGGGTGATGATTACTGAAGGAAAAGTGGGTTCTGTGAGCTGATCAGCAGCCAGTTTGCAAAGACTGATGGACCACAGTCAAATTGGCAAGCCAACAATTCTTGGTTGTCAATGATGAACTGACTTTTTGGACAAATCTTTTATATCCCTTAGGATATCACAGAATCATAGAATGGTTTGGGTTGGAAAGGACCTTACGATCACCTAGTTCCAACCCCCCTGCCATGGCTATAAGAAGGAGGATTGGCATATATGATTGCTGCAACCTGCACCACTGTCCCGCCATCGGTGCAGGGTCTTCTGTCCAGGAGCTGCGTCCTGTGGTCTCACCAGTGTAGGGCCTCTGGGGCTTGAGCACAGCAGCACATTCATCCATTGATGAAACAACATCCTTTGCTATATAGGCCTCTTTTACTTATTCTGGTGCTTTCACATACACATAATTCCAGTCATATGTCATTTTTCCCAATCTTAATATTTCTGTTACAATCTATGCAGATTCATGTGGAAATTAATTTCTTCCCATGTTTTCCTTGCAGCAGCTCCAGTAGTGTTCACTAGTGAAATACAGGTAGACTCAAGGGTTTAACCCTGCCTGGCTGCAGTGGTAGGACCTGCTGAGTCCACCAGCAGTTTAGCAGCACCACTGCAGCCAGAGGATGTAAAAGCAATACATTTTTCCCCAGAGTAAAAGCTCTCATAGAGAAAGCAATAGCTTCTTAGAAAGGCTGTCATTGCTTGACCAGCTGATGTATAACTCCAGACTAATTGAATAGCAGACTTTCAGCTGGGTTGGAAAGCTTTTAAAAACCCAAAGGCCTTTGCATTGCAGTGAACTAAAGCTATTAGCCCCTAATTAAAACATGAGGTTTCATCTTTACCTTTGTAGAGATCACAGAAATCTGTGTATTTTTCAGGCTTTAAGCCAAAAATCAAACATTCATCACGTAATTGCAGTAAGTGTGTGCTAATACGACTCATTAAGTGTGATTTATGAATTTCAGAAGAGCCAAAGAGATAAATATATAAAATTATTCTGAAGTCTGCAAAAATGAAGGCATTCATTTCTTTGGATGAGTGTTCAGCAGGAAGGATTTAGAGAAACGTGAACATTACAGCTTTCAACGTTTGGTAAAGACATCTGTACCTTTGCCATTCCCTAAACCAGTCTGGTTTCATCTGGTGTCCCTGCTAATCTTTCAGCAAAGACAACCCTTCAGCTGTCAGCATGGTGGGCCTCAGAAGAGGTATCACCTACTTGTTTGCCGAGTGACTTCAGTAACGTCCCATCTCCATCCTGGATGCACTTTTCATTAAACACTTTGTAATCTGTCAGTAGAACATGGTGTGTTACAGAAGTGTGCTATCGCTGTTACACAGCAGCTAACCACTCTCTGACCCCGCAGTCAGGACATGAGCGTTGAAGGAGGATGAACGTCGTAAATGTTAGTCGAGGTTAGCAGCACTGGGTTGAAGAAACTGCTAAATTGTGAATGTAGTTATTCGCTTTGCTGCAGGGGAACGAAAGATCAACACTGGTGTTTGACCTTAACTAATTAGACCTCACATAGAAGTATCTGACAGGGATGCAAATAGTTTGCATTCCTTATTTCCTGCTCAGACTCAGGCTGAGTGGGAAGGAGTGATTTAGGGTGAAATTAAATCTTTCCTGTGCTCTGACATGTTGCTTTGGAGTAGAGTACTCTCAGATATTCCCTAGTACATGTAATCTGAAGACAGCAGGAAGGGTTTGTTATTGCTGTATCAGTCAATAAGATGTGATGAATAGTCTTTGTAATATGGGATCAAAACTGATCTGACAAAACAAAAGCTTCAAAGGTCTTGTTTTCCCTTTGCCCCACTGCAGCATCCTGAGTGACAACTTGTGTTGAGATGTTACAACAAAATAACTGGAGAATCTCACATCTGAGGCAGAATCAGCCCCTGAACACTTATGGAGTGAGGAGGGCTCCCAGTGAAAGACATCCTGGAGCTGGGGCCAGTGTGTGTTTAGCCTTGGCTATTCCTTTCTAGGCAACAGCATTCCCTCCCAGCTGGGGAGGATCCATGTCTCCTGCTGAAGTGGGTGAGCCAGGGGTTGAAGTGGTCCAGAGCTGTAGGTAAGCTCCTTCTCCTGATATTTGTATGAATGTGAGTTTTTGGGTTAACTCAGCAAACTGCCGGTTGATAGTTCCTGTGGATTTCTTTCCTCTCCCCAGCAGGCAATTCTGATTGATACTAATGGAAATCTTCTGCAAGCAGAAAGGAGGCCAAGGCAGCTCTGACTTCTGATTGCCATCTGCATTTACTCAAAGTTCTCTTAGGGTTTTCAGCCCAAAATGAAGGGGCCATCTGACTTTTCCTTCTTGCCCT